AATACTAATCGATTAACATACAATTTTGCTTTTCTATCATCCTGATCGTATAAAATCAAAATCAGATTGGTTTAGGAATTTTACCATAGGCAAAGGCCTTAGTTGCCTACCCCTAGATCCGCCACTTATGCTCATGTAATTTGCAAAATTGATTCTTGACTGCGGTCATATATCGTAAAATACCGCCCAATTCTGCAGCCAATCAGAATGCAGGGAAGCATTCACCTTGCTGATGATTTGCAAAAAATTTCTGAGAAAGAAGTGTGTAAGTACTTTGCATTTGTGAAAGTACAATCAGTTTCATCATGATAATTAATGTAAAATTGAAAATAGAAAGTTATACCGTGACTCCTTTTTCCGGTTTATTTATTTCCACGATTGAAGCTTTTAACTTGCGACGAGAATCTCATTAATGCCTACGTATGAATGAGCGACGTTTAATTGCTAATCTTTCCCCCCTTGTTTCTCTTACGACTCGTATATCTACAGGTTTTTTGTTTCGTTTAGTTTTTGCGCTTTACAAAACTTGCTGCATGTTTTATAAACTTTGTACATCTTTACATTTTGTCTAAAAAGTTACGTGATTACTTCAGAAATAAAAGATGTTTGCTTTGTTTGCACAGGCTTATGCAATATGAGGTGACCTTTGGAACCAAAGGTCGATAGATGCACATGCTCGAAAGTTCTCACAAACGTCTCTGTGGTTTGCATAAGCCTGTTAATCACGTAAAACTTCTTTTATTTCTTTTATAGAATAACAATAATGCGACAAGACAAGTTTAAAACAAATGTTTTAATTTTTCATCTAATATTTATTCATGATCGATTTGCAAATTCTCTTTGATTGATTGTTTTGATTAATTTGATTAGTTAAGCTCAGATCTGTTTTACACTGACTAATGCAAACACAGCTGGAGACCAATCACCGCACGCGTTTTATTCTTTTTTATTTTTGAAGGAAAACAATATGTTTGAGCCAATTAAAGCACCTGAATTGACGCTTGCCATACAACAACAACCGTGTAATCAGTTATAAATGTACACGCATATCCCGCTTCTATAAAGCATGTTTTGAAACCACGCATTGTTTTCTTAATGAAATAATTTTGGAAAGTAATTTTTAGTATGTGTGATTTTTTATGATTAAGTTTCAGATAAAGTTGTTTGAAATAGCATAAAAGTGACGGATGACTGCCATTAAAAATGGGAACAGTATTGTATACAAATCAGTTGCATAACCTTTAAATGCTAAGAGTGTTTTGATCTTGTATCAAAATTCTATTTATACGTGGTGGTGAAATACATACTTACGACTCCAGTTTTATATGAAACTCAACTGTACAACGTAGCAAGTTGACAATGTACTCATTAAACGTTTAGGTTTTTTTATTTGCCTTTTTATTTTTATGTGTTTGAAAATACAGGTCGAAAGGACTATTTATTAAACGAGTATTGCTTAGATGCCCGAGAACATTGTACTTTTTTAAAATTACATCAAAAACCAAAATTACGATCGTTCAACATTAGCAAGTTTTAACTCAATGATAAGGTATATGATTTTTTAGGAGCACGGCATATTGTTTTTAGTTAAGTCATAAAGGTTTTTGGTTAAAATTGTTATAAATGTCTCCTAGAAACAAAAGAGTGGAGGAGTATTTTATGAATTGTCATATAATATATACTTTGTTGACTAGTATATAATTTATTCGACTTTCATTGCAGTGATTAAAATTTCTTATTCTCTGCAATCAAAAGGTATAAAATGGCGTCACAATATCTTTTAAGCAATAAAAGATTTTGGGAAAATGATGAACCTATAAAACTTCCCGGAAACAATTCAATTCCAATACAACACAATGACTGCATAAAAACGTTTCTGAAATGTATTCAAGATGAAGGTTTGCAGAAAGCTTACAATCGTTACGGATACAAGCCTCAGGAATCCAGTCTTTCAAGCTTTGTTGTCAGTGCTGTACATGAAGATGAAACTATGGTTGACGTCATCGTTGTTGGTGCAGGAATGGCAGGTCTATCTGCAGCGTACGAGTTGAAAAAAGCTGGTCTTTCTGTGAAAATTATTGAGCAAACAGAGCGTTATGGTGGAAGAGTCTATACGTATGGTAAAGAAAATGGTCTTGCGTTTGGTTTGTACGCAGAATGTGTGAGTTGATTAGCCAAGGTTGTTTGCATTCTTAAATTGAATATCGTTTTATTTAAATGATTTATTGAATTTCGTTGAATGAACTCTTGAAAAGCCCACTTTTTGACGTTTGTATAAAATTGCTAAATATGCTATTTAAGTACAAAGTGTCAACACCAAACATGGTTTTGAAAATTTTGCTCAATATTATTAGGATTGCATTTGTGGCAGTTGGGTTTAGTGGAAGAAAGTTTGGAGTGAACTGAGGCACGTGAAAGTTACAATAGGAAAAATGTATTTTGTTAGCAAAAATTTTCAGCCAAAATAAAACAAAACGACAACGGCGTCGTAATATTGAAGAGAATTGCGTTGAGGACGCCGTCGTGTTCTCAACTTATTTTGGTTTAGCATTTTTAGAATGGGGAGTCAAGCCAATAGGTTGAAGTTAAAAATGGCATATACGAATTTCATTTTATAAATAAAACACAACTTCCTTTTTGTGATTTAACATCAAATGTACAAAATTTTTTGACAATCGTATTTCTAGTGAAGTTATAGCTACCCATAACAAGAAGGTATTTTCCTATAGTTTTTTGTTTTCGCATGTCTGTAAATATGGGAAAAACTGAAACGTTTTTGTTCCAAAGTAGAAAATAGTATGCGCTATAAATACTTCTTAACTTACAGAATCTTAAAGCAAAAAAAAATTTAAAAATATTGGCTTTAGAAATTTATTTTCATTTAAAACAAATTAAACAATTATTGGATAATTGCTAGTACGCTTCTGTAGACGTAAAAAATTTAAAAAAAACTCACGAGAAAGATAGTACCCGTCACAGTATTTGTTGACCGGCTCAGTGTTATGCATTTTACGTTTATAGCTTTAACAAAGTTTTTGAGATGCTAAAACTTGGACATTTTGCCTATAACATTTTCAAGCATTGCTAGGTGCTTCTACTACGTTCAATTTCATCAAGCTTTCTTCAACTTGGCGTCTTTCTTTTTCCTCTGTCTTGCTTGATTTTGTTTCACTGTTGGAAGTTTCATTTTCAAGTATCTGTTCTACCTCAATCCACGAATTATAATATCAGTCATAAATATTGGAGCATTGTTTATGGAAAAAATACGCAGATACAAAGTTATAGGGAAAATGAAAACATATCTAAAATTGTCACGAATATTACGAGTGGCGTGACAATGTGTTGATTTATTTGATTGTCAAAACAAGCTTAAGAGACAAAGAGCATGCCAAAAATACATTAATGAAAATTTGCTTAGCGCATATACAATCACCAATTTCAGAGCTCGCTCGGTCACAAGTTAATTGAGAATGACCAACTGTATGTACTAGTATCAATTATGGAATAATTATCTCGCTTAGTCACAAATTTTCAGATAATTCATTTGCGCATGCGCAATCTGTTTAAGCATGAGCAGTCGAATTTATTAGCTGCCCAACTTCACGGTCATGGCAAAGGCCAATTGCATCTACTAGAACTGATTTTTAACTAAATAGCATGCTTAGTAACAATCTATTAGTGACATCATCTGGGCATGCGCTCGAGCAAGCGCAGTCCACTCGAATAATTGTTCATAGTCATGGCAACGACTAACTATACGTACTTGCACTACATTTGTGGCAATTAGCTCACTTAATCGCAAATTATCAAAGAAATCATCTGGGTATGCGCAGTAGTGACATTAAATAATACCACAACTTTTGTAAGCCTTTGAATTTAGGTGTATATATATAAATCTAAAACTTCCTATAGTAGATGTCAACTAGCAGTGGAAGCTGGGTGCGATATAGTATGCAGTGGCTTAGAGGCCCAAACCTCGGTCGTGACCGCACTCTCCCGAGCAAAGTCTGTCGCAGGTGGTCTTGGGGTCTGATGGGCGGAAGCTTGCTGCGTATTGGCATCCCCAAGTAGGATAGTGTAAAGGGGTTGAGATCTCCAACCGAAACGTTAACATGCGGCGTTATAGTGCCTTACGCTTAAGAAGGTATCGGGATGCATTGATCGAAAACGAGGTTTTAGCTCTTGGATTATGTCTGTTTTGTTTATCTCATAAGAGAAACTAGAACATCCAAGGATACTGTAAAGGTTAAAAAAACCGCTGCCTCTTTGACTATACGTTTTTTAGATATCTTTTACAATGTAACTTTCTTATAACTCTCTATATTAGTTGACTTTTTAAATAAAACACCTAAAAATATATAACAATAGAAAACAAAAAGTGTCGAAATACGTTTACTTGAATCATTCATTATTCGCAAAAATTAGAGAAGAATAACAAATAGTAACTCTTTATAGATATATATGCAAATTGTTCACACTTTTTTCATGTTTAGTTACACATACATACAGTTAGCACATACAATATTGGAAAGTTTCAACCTGTAAATGAGCGTGAACTAATCCTCCTACAAATAAAATTTTGTTGCCTGTCCTGAGCCCAGGCGGGAATTTTCTAATTTCCTTTTGCTGAAAATTTCCGAGATGTTGTACTAATAGCAGAAGTTACATGAAGTATTGAATGCAAAAAAATGGCGGTGTTGTTACATTGACGGGGAATGCTATAACCCGGGCGATGATCGGGGACGCGCCTATTAAATTCCTGGTCAGCGGCAAAAGCCTTGACATAATAATCGTTATAAGTACAATATGTTTCTTGTATAAAATTTAATAACGCAAATCAACACAAAGTATACAGCACAGCGCCCACATTGGCTTTTACAAAATATGCGGTCTTTTTTATAACGAATGTTACTGCAAACGCGCATTGTGAAGTATATTATTCTTTGTTATTGAGCTTGCTTGTAATATGTTCTAAAAGATATTGATGATGCTCAAAAGTATTCTAATCGGTAAGTCTTTTTTATTCGGCACTTTTAAATCTTACAATTTATGTTTTGTATTATTATACGATTGTCATGTCTGATTATGGGCAAGCAAAGTACTCTGTCAGAGTTTGTCCAAAGTCAACATTCAGACAACTTGCATGAAAGTACTGCCCACATGAATGACATCCCAACCCGTCTTCACCATCATCTATCTTGCAAATCTTGCATACCAAACTATTTCTCCTAATAAAATAAATTTTACACATTTTACTTATGGTATGGTAAACAAGCACACAATTTATAACATTACAAATGTCAGATTGATTTTATGGATAATTCCAACAAATAAATCACGACTTTAATGTTTTTGTCTAGTTTAATGTTTTTGTCAATTAAATAAAATCTATAATTTGCCCCTTTTATTAAAATATTTAAAAAAATATAATTTTTTTGTTGTTACTCATAAATGTCATCATAGCAAGAACCCATAATCGTTGAAGTCACGTGCTGCCTCACTTTTCTCATGTCAAACTTTGCATTTATGTCAAGATTTTGACTCAGATATTCAGCAAACTGAAATGATAAAAATAAAAGAGATTTTTTTTAAATTGTTATTTCTTAGAACACAATGTCAAAACAACTACCAGGCAAATAATTATTCCACAGTTAAACCCATCCTCTTGCACATAGTGTGAATGCTGAATAATAGACCAAGTTGATGTGTTCCACCCACTTTTTAGATCAACAAGGGCACTTTATAAACAAAGGGATTATATTATCAACTGCACTATATCAATGTTGCTGTGTGTATTCAAGACATTGAAGTGATTCATTGAATTGGAATTTCAAATACTGGTATTTGTCAAGGAAGTAATGTATGTATACTTACCAAATGCTTTTGATAAACTGTGAAAGTTCAACTCTTGTTGCTTCACTGATAACTTCTTCTACATGACCTTCCATAGGATCAAGGTAGTATACCATCTCTTTTTGTCGATTACCTTTAAAAGTGACAATATTGAAAATAATAAAATTTGTTGCCTTGTCTTAGCTATGTTGTATCCATATTGTATTTACCAAAAGTGTCCAATGGCTCCCAGACATATTGAGAGGAAATATTATTGTGTCAATTGCCATGAAATTTTGATCTGCCCACAGTCGACGTGTACTAGATCCTCGTTGCACCAACTGACATACATATGATTCTGCTGGTAGGACACCAGGATATTCACATGAAAGTTTCCATAAGAAAGCGTTGATAACCTATAACAATCAGGCTCAATTACCATTTCATCATTTGTCTCTGATGCATGATAATCATATGTAAGCTGTAGAGTGTTTAATCACTTGACTTACTGTATCACTAAGCCATCCAGGTGCCACAGTTTTATTTTCAATTAGTGTGGCAGCATATTTAGTCATCTCATTTGGTGGAATGAGGGTCCATAAATCCTGAAGAGTCACTTTGTTTGGTCCAAATTCTAGCATTTGATGACCTAACTTAATTTCATTTAGAGAGGCATTCAGTAAGCGATCCAGTGGATTTGCCTTGTGCTCAGCTGAGACGTCAACACTACAGTTGCCATTTAGGAAAAGAAAAGTGGACTATGTGTAATGGTATAGTCCTCACTCATATTAAATAATTATTACATAGTAAATATAAATACTACACCGAAATGTTACTACCCCCCTCTCATCATTGCACAAGTATTTTTGGAAAATTTTTCTCCATTCAATATTTCTCTATTGCTATGTGTTTGTACCTGCTTGAATTGCTTTTTTCATTCTCCTGGTTTTGCACATTAGTGGACACCTATGAAAATAATAAGACTACTTTCAGAAAATACTCGTGACGAGATGTAATCTAAAGAAATTTTTTAAACATAAAAGTAATCATTTGAGAGAAGCTTTTTTAAGAAATGACAAGAAAGCAATTCAATAACTTGTCTTACTTGTGCCATTTCATCGCCCACATTAGTAAGATCTATTGTAAATGGTGTAGACTTTTTTGTCTTGCGTCGTCTGGGAGGTAGGGCCTTATGAAAGATTTAATGGTATTTTGTCTCGGTAACCTTTACTTTTTTTTTCACAGGACTCAATCGAAGAGGCAAACCATTTTCTGTGGGAAAGTTTTGTTCAAGAAACTGTTTCAAGCTTTCAGCTTTTTGCACTGCTTCTTGTAGAGTGGTCTCGTTGTCGATCAGGAAGGTCATACTGTGTATTTGGCCCAGTTGTTCTTGCAAGATCTTTCTGAGCCTTTTGGAACTTTTGTTTGAAGTAGTTTCAAACTTAACTGTTTCTTCCTGGGGTATGTCGTGGATATAATTTTTGTTATCAGAAGACAACGATTCGTGCAAAACAACGTCTCTTTTGATGGTGCTCCATGATGACGTATTGGCTTCCTCTAGTTCTTCTGGCGTAGTATCTTGTGGCAATCCAAGAGGTTCATTGTCGAGAGTGATGAAAACGCTATTTTGGTAGTCTTCTGGAAGACTTTCGAAATCCCACTCGCCATAGAAAGAAAAAACTGCGAAAAAATGTTTGCAAGGGAAATGGGTAGTGTGCCATATGTTGCAGGTACAACTTGGTTCTCGGAAGTCTATGAAATGTTTCTTTCCAACATTGCTCCCGCTCTTGACATTGAACGTGCCCTTCTTTAAATTAACCGGAGTTATGTCGTCCTGTTTGAAAATGGCTGAAGCGTATCGATTTTAAGGCAACATTTCAAAAGTGCGGAGGTCTGTTGTGCAAGTATTCTGGGATTGATGGGTTGTACTTGCAGTAGGCGCTGCTCAGTCGCAGGTTTGCATCCAAATAGTGCTGAAGAACATCGGGAATGAAAGATTCAACCAACATCACCGCAATACCATACACAGATTTGTCAATACTTTGGGGTAAGTATTCGTATTTAAAGACTCTGTTTTGAGCCTCAACGCCATTGTTAGTATTAACAATGTTGGTGACTTGCTGTTTTCGAAAAGCGTGTGCCCATCTGACAGCGCAAGAAAACCACGTACGGTCAACATATTCTCTCATCTTGCTGCATTCTTTATACACTTTGGACTCTCGAAAATCTTTTACTGCCTTGTCGTACTCCTGTTTGGTACTGACATTAGCAATTTTTTTCATTTGCAGAAGGAAGTGTTGTTGCTGTTCATATGACAATCCATTCTTGCTTGCTGAAGCCCACCGTTTTAGCGCTTGCAGCCTGTGAAAGTCGCAAACATAAACCTGTACATCGGGAAAACTTTTTTCTATCGCGCCTATTTCTGCTAATGAGTAATCCACCATAAAATATTTTGGGTTCCATACTGGATTCCATCCTTTTATAATAGCCAGAGCCTCTTCTATGGCTTCTTCGGTCTCCGTCTGGCACATAAATTCAGCCACAACTTTGTAGCCAACGTTTGAATGAACGCACACAGAGAAAAGCGGTATTGCGTACTTTGTTGTTTTGTATGTGGCGTCCATGAGACACAATTGTCCGCCATAACGAATCAACATTCGTTGTTGCCAATGCTCTTGATGCACAAACAAAAACTTTTTATCCTCCTTTGGAGGAATATCGTTTCTGGAAGCGTTATCTCTTGTGCGGTAGAAAACTTGCTGCTTGGAGAATTCTGTTTCCAGGTTTCTACCTTCCTGCGCAGGGACTCTTGATCGTCTTTGCAGTCCTTAAGGGACTCTATTGCTTTTGCTACGTGGTTTCGAATATCCTTTTTATTTGGATAGTACCGTTTATTTGTCTTGCGCGGTGTAGCCTTTTGTCCGTCTTGTGGAAATAAAGTCTCTTCAACGTATTGATCAAGACACCTTTTGACTTCTGAGATTTTAATTACATTGCGTTTTACCAAACTATAAACTTTCGTGACCAGTCGGTAATCCATTCGCTGCCCAACTGTTGCCGTGGCACCAATGGCGTGACTTGAATGAGCACTACTAAGAGGTATTTTTAGGTAAAATCGACTGCTGGCGCGAAGTTGTGAGGAGGAATCGTTATCCATTTTTCCCTTAATCTCTCTAAATACTCTCCGTTTTGCCATAACCAAGCTGTTTTCTGATGTAAATTGTTCTCGATCGATGTAGTAGTCGAGAAATACTCTGACTTGTCTTATTTGCACTTGTGCTGGACAATCCAGTTTTCTACTGTTCTGTAATCGAATCCGTCCCTTTTCTTCATAATCATGGTCACTTTTTACGTCGTGTCTGCGAGTGCCTCTGCTGTCCTGAGAAGTTTGTTAAAATAAAACAGTGTGGTGTCAAGACAAATTGTGCACAAACAAATCTTAAATATCATAACGAAGAATACATACTTTCGCGCTCCCATGTAAACAATGTCTTGTTTCGTTGCTCACAATCAAAAACGGATTTCCAAAAAACTCAATTGGAATATTTCCCTTCTTGCTTTCAAACACTGGCGGTGCTAGAAAAAATAAATGATATGTTTTTTCAGCATTTTGTTTGTCTTCAAGTAAAACATTCTTATTATGCTAAGCTATGCATATGTGTTAGATAATAAAATGTATTTAAAAGAGATAGCAAAATAATTGGCGAGTCATTGAACGGTTTTTTCCTAATGAGTTTTTTGCTAATATAGATAGAAATGACTGTTAGATTCAATTCTTCTAACTCCATAATGGAATGTCTTTGCGACTATAAAATGTTAATTGGTCATGCAATATTGAAGAAGGGGAATGTAGCAGGCTAGGCTGCCCAATTTATGCGTCGGTTGAAAATTTCTTGGTGTTTTCTCGCTTTAATTTGGGGTAAGATGCTTGATGCGGTTGAGTTGATTACCTGTAAGTGAAAAACGTTTATTGCCCCTTGTTTTTGAGTGGTTGTCAGCTTTCACAAACGAGATAGAATCAATTACCTAAATTCAAAAACCTCTTTCACTTTTCAAATATATTAACGCGTGAAATCAACTTATCAAGGTTTACGTATTACGGCCTTTGAAAGTTAACTGTTCAACAATTACAAAAACCTTTTCAAGCCGACAATTTGAAGAAATAAATTATAAAACATACTTCAAAAAACATGATCTTGTAAACTTAGCTATATTAGCTTTATAATGACTATGAAATAATGTCAAAATATTGCTTTTAGATTTTGTTTCTTGCTATTATTACTGAAATTTTGAGTTTACATGATGATGTTTTTCGGAATATGTTACAAATTGCTTGCAGTATGGTGTAACAATTGAAAACAAACTACGAGACCTGAAACTGTTCAAGAAGTTCTTCCATTTGCTCCACCGTTCCATCAATGTATCCTGTGCAGTAATTTTCCAGAATTTGCACACTTTCGAGTTTTTCTCTAAGGAAGTTTACTTGTTTATTTGAGCATTCTGCAGATTCACGCTGAAGAATTGTCTGCGCCATATACTGAGTATGAAACACGAAATTTGTTCCTTAATATATTTTAGTCTGTTGAAATGTTTAATAATGAGCCAGAGCAAACACTCGAACGCTTATACGTCTTTATATGAATTTCATTCCACGAGCCAGTAATGTGCCCACTATTTTTTTCACTTTTGATGCGAGGTTTTTATATTTTTTCTTAGCTAGGTGGAGTTAAGGCGAGACCTATAAAGCACTTGAAAAACGCAAGTACCTATACGTAAGAATGAAAAGTGCGCGAATATTGAACATATAAATTAGAGATAGGGTATCTAGGTGCAGTTAAGGCGAGACCGATAAAGCACTTGAAAAACGCAAGTACATATACGTAAGAATGAAAAGTGCGCGAATATTCAGCATAATGAGTATAGGCATTGAGGATAGGCCATTTCCTATGATCTAAGTAGTAGCTTCTAGATTTAATCTCATACGTAAATTTAACGTCACAATGCGCGTTTGAAGCAACATTTGTTATAAACAGACCGCATATTTTGTAAAAGCCAAATGAACATATAATACAATGTGGGCGCTGTGCTGTATACTTTGTGCTGTATACTTTGTTACCGATTAGA